AAATTTACCGAGGGCACACTCAATCCCCTCATCCAGGTCACTGATAAAGATATTAAAAAAAAATGGCCCTAGAACTGAGCCCTGGGGGACACCGCTTGCGACCAGCTGCCAACTGGATTTAGCTCCATTCACGACGACTCTCTGGGCTTGGCCATCCAGCCAGTTTTTAACCCAGCGAAGAGTACACCCATCTAGGCCATGAACTGCCAGCTTCTTCAGGAGAATGCTATGGGAGACTGTGTCAAAGGCTTTGCTGAAGTCCAGGTATACAACAGCCACAGCCTTTCCCTCATCTACCAGGCAGGTCACCTGGTCATAGAAGGAAATCAGGTTGGTTAGGCAAGACCTGCCTTTCATGAACCCATGTTGGCTGGGCCTGATCCCCTGATTGTCCTCCCTGTGCCTGGTGAGCACACTCAAGATGAACCTCTCCATAATCTTCCCCAGTACTGAGGTCAGGCTGACAGGTCTGTAGTTCCCCGGAGCCTCCTTCCAGCCCTTCTTGAAGATAGGTGTCCCTTTTTGCTTTGCTTTTCTCATCACACAATAATAATTTTTGAAATATGTACTACACAAATATTTACCTCTTATTCTGCCCCTTTGTGAATTAGGCTCACCCTACTTACACAGGGGTTTTCTGAAGCATTGAAATAATCAGTTTCAAAGCGTGTTTATCAACTGCCCTGGGAGTCCACTGAAAAGCACAACATTCTCCAGTACAACACAAACCCTATTTACCTCTCAAGCTTCACTTCAGCCCTTAAAGTGGGGTACAACAGATGCATTAAGCCCTTTGTGAACCTTGGGCAAACAGACAAATTTCACTCTGCATAATTAACAAGGTCCTCATCATCAAACCATTTGCATAATTCTCTTGGGTCAGCTATTGACCAACCATTAACCCAAGCTTAAAAGAAGTTATATTCTACACGGTTTTTTACACACAAGAACTCTCCATGGTGGTGACTATGTTTGTAGTGCTGGTACGTTTCTGTTTGCTGTTTGTTTAGTAGTAAGATCTCATTCAAGAGCAGCTACTATCTTTGTGAATCATCAGATAACAGAAAGAAAACATACTTCCTTATCTCACTCAATAAATTGATCTAAATCAAGTAATTCATCCTTACACTTGCAATAAAAAAGGAAAATAGTAATTTTCCTCTTTTTCTGGTTTTATAGGACTGTTGAAACTTAAAGCCAAGTAATATTCCACCAGCAGCAGGGTAAATGTTTAAAAAAGATCATATTTATTCTTTATGACTACAGGTCCAGAGACAACAACAAAAAAAAGAAATCCAAAAAAGTCTGGCTGAAAATGAAGAGTATGGGCATCAAAATTCCACTTCATTTGTGTGGAAACACTATGTGTGAAATTTGTTCTATATCTGAGTGGAGGTAGAATTGTAATCAAAACATGATGTAAACATTAAGCCTAGTCCTGCAAGATAGAAAGTTCCCTCAACTCACCTTTAATTCATCATTGGTAGAGGGTGCCAAGAAGTTATGGCCCAAAAATGGTCCAATTGACCTATAAAAGCAACAAAACAGCCCCCACCACCCCTGGCCAATGTACTGTCTATTCAAACATTATATCTGAAGCAGAACATAATTTTGTGTTACACAGAATCTGACCTGCACACCTGTAACACTTTTTAGCTCACAGATTCATATTTCTAAGTCTCTAATTTTTTAGAGATAGTTGTTGAAAAGTTGTTCTCAGAAGAAAATTAAAACACAGAAATGAACAGAATATTAAAAGGTATTTGTGTCACTTTCAACTCCAAAGGGGCATGTCAAGCTATATTAGTACTTACATCTTTTTACACTTAGCAAGAGGAAGCGGAAACTAAAATTAAAAATAAACCAAGTTCATTTCCTTTCTACAGAAAGTGCTGAAATTTCTACTTCCTCTCAACTTTCATTTTTAAATTAAATGCATTTAAAACATGCAACCTCAGATTTCAAACAACTTTGACAAATTTGAAAATTAGCAATTTGTCTAGTTAATTTTGAGAGGGACCTCATGTCACAAGTGAAATAAAAAGTAGGACATGGAAAAGAATGTTACAGAGAAATTGCTTGAGTGTTAACAAACAATTTTGAAGGAACAAACCACCTGCCTGCAAATAAACAGGAAGTAGTTTATGTATTCAATTAGTTTTCATCCTACGCTCTCCTTTCCTACTGAGCAGCATTTCTCAGAAGATGCTCGTTTGCTCTGGCTGGCTCCCTCAAGCCCCCAAAATAGTCTCTAACCTTTCTTTAACCCCAGTGGTACATCGCTCATGCTCCTCAGCAAAAGTTTCCATTGCAACTAGCTTCTGTGTAGTTTCCTATGTCTATCCCTGCTGCAGACCTGCTGTGCAACACAGGATGGAGAACACACCACCTGCAGAGCACTCCTCAGCTGAGCCCGTGCCTGTGCATTCTCTGGACAAAAGCCAACCATGAAGCCTGAGATGGCAAAAAGCCCTACCCCACATGACAAGGAAACCATAAAGGGGACATTCACACTGTGTATCCCAAGTATTTGAGTTCAGTGCAATACAGAACCTGCACTCCCTCACTCCATTTTCAGTGAGGAGAGGCAGAGTGGACCTGTATTAGGTTCCTAAGTAGAGGGCATTAATACCTGCTGAAGGTAATAGATGGTATGAAGAGTTAATTGGTTATAGGGCTGAGAATGCAATCAGAGGCAAGAGACTTGGAAAATATTTCTGGATTGTATTTCCGATAACCTGGAGGCACTGGTAATCTCTTCAAAGCCATCTTCTAACATTATCACATCTCTACCATCTGTCCTTTGAACACTGTTTTTTGATGGCACCACTGTATTTTTCCTTCCAGACTGAGAACCAAGATCTTCTGATGATAGTTTTAGACTGACTTTTAGATCAGAACTAAACTTAGGAAAGAAATTTCAAGTTATATATATATATATACACCAAACTGACCTTAAAAATACAGAAGACGACACTACATTTAAAACATGAACATCTAGGAAAAAGTAAGACTATTTCAATCTGTTGGATAACACCAATGGTTTTATCGCATGTAACAACCCAGATCCAGGACACCTGACTAGACAGAATTCACAATACTTACCTTTAGGTACTCCTGTGTCTTGAACAGGATATTTTTCAGCCTGTCACAAAAAGGCAAGAGACAGATTTTTGTTATTTTGAGTGTAATTGTGCTGGAGAAAGAGTATATAAAACTGCGTAATTATAGTTGCATCTCTTAAATTGTAGACAGATCAACTATTAGCAATCAGACATAGTAACAGTCTTCTTGCACGGGAATCGAGACGCCACTAACACTACTGATTATCACATGCAAAAGTAGCAGAGATTGCTCTTTGCTGCAGTATTTTTTAAAAACTTCACTACTTTTTAGTGAAGAAGCAGAGATTGGGAAAGAAATTTTGCATTTAAGTAGCAAGATAATCTAGAAAAGGTAATGCATACCAGGAGGAATAGAGATTACTTCAAAAGCTCTTTTAGCAGATATAAGCTTTTATTAATATGTTACTATACTGAAAGAAAAAAAATATTTTTCCCTTCTGGTCTAAAATTAAAAATCTGATTAAGATGCAACAGAAAATTATTATTATTGTGTTTCAGGGGAGAGCTGCTAATTTCCAGGCATATTATAACTTCCTATTGTGTCTGAAATCCACCTCCTTCCCTATGTAAATCCGACCCCTACCCTTATGTAAAAGTAGGTGTGGCTTTTATAGAAGCTCATAATCAAGCAAACAGATTAACATCTTAAGTTAAGGGGGGGGGAATAAACAAACTTTCATTTGTCTCAGGTATAGCAGCTTTCCCCCACCTTTTAAAAACTCCCCTTAGCAAAACACAGCATCTAATTTGGTCCACAAAAACAGTCTTTTATTTAAACCTGCTAACGCAAATACATGTAGACAGACTGCAATAATGGTTCCCAGCAAAGCATCAGTATTTAAAGTACTAGTGAAATTTAT